GTAAACTCCAGGGAAGTAGACGGTTGGCCGCTTCGGTGGTTCTGACGGTTATCGGTATAGTTGCTCGAACTCCGGGATAGCTCACGCTCGGCTGGTAGGAGGAGCTCGCCTCTTATTTTTTTTCTCCCCACCTCAGCCGCTGAGTAAAACAACGACTACCGGGGCTGTCCGGGCTCTCTGCTCCGGAATTTGTAAACGGGGTACCTAAAGAGACATTAATGGGAAACGCTGCTGGCCAGGAGCCCAGAAAGGCAGATATTTAACCTGGGTTGGTGGAGTGGCGGAGCCGCCTACCGGGGCGAGAGCTGGGCTCCAGATGGACCGAGGCTCCGGCTCTCCTCAGTGGGAGCTGTCAGAGGGGAGACGGCGGAGCGCCACCGGGCACAAGCGGGCGCACTGACTGACTCCCTCCGGGACCGACGCTCACGCCTGGGGGTGTTGCGAGGGGGGGGGGAGACACGCGTGACCTGCCCCACGCCGTGTGGCGGGACGGGCAGCGGTGCGTGGACCGCGGGTGCCGAGCCTCGGGGTGGGGACACAGGCGAGAGGCTCGCCGCGATCGGAAACAGAATGAGGATCCTGATTCTCTACCTGTTGACTTCTTGTTTTTCCTTGGCGGGGCCAGCGAGAGATGCAAATTAATGCTCGCTAGGTGGTGAAATGGAATAACGTAACCATTACGGTCAGGTGTAAGCGACACGCAAACAGCCGCAGGTCAGCTATACGAACTGTATATAGACTAGTATATAGTCGGGTGCGAGTTTTTTTTATTTACTTTATGGGTTTTTTTTGTGATTTGTATTTTTCCACTGAAGTTTGATCTGGGCTTGTATTATTTTATTTTGCATTTTTCATTTAGCCTCCTTCGTCACTTATCTGCAGGGAGTCTGCACTGTGCTTTTAGCTGCTCGGTGAAAACGTTCCGATTGCAAGTGGGTTGAGAATCAGTTCTGTCACCGAGCCCCAGTGAGGGCCGTGTTGGAAGCGAATATCGCGGCAGTGGGTCACTGTAGCTGCTCCCCCAGGCTGGTCTCTGGGGCTATTTGGTCCATTTCGGGGGAGGGGGGTGGAGGTGCATCTCTGCGTGGCTCTGTCTGTGGAAACGTGCCCCCGTGGAAGGGCTGGAGCGGACACGGGTCCGAGGAGTTTGGTTCCCAGGACACCTGATGGTCTGAATGCGGGATCGATGTGACTTGGAGTCCGACGTCATCGCAAAATGCCTCTCGTGCTGGTCGTTCTGCTGGCCCTGCTGCTGGTAGCCGTGGTTACCGTCACCCTCCTGAGGTAAGAAACAAGCACGAACGTCGCCGATCAATTACATGACGCCTAGATTTGGAGGGTCCGATTGTAAAACAAAAAAAGTGCATTCCCTGCTTCAGTACGCTGGGGCATCTACAGTAGCCCTACCCAGTTCCTTCTTATTTTACACACCAGGCGTGGCAAACTTGTAGTGGTTTTGCTCAGCTGTGATTTGGCGTGCAAACGTATCGTTGACACGTGATGATCCAGCGCCCCAGAGTTTGAGATGACTCCTGGATCGTGCACCGCCTGATGAGCACGCCTCACTGTACAGTTCTGGAGAAATTACAAGTGCAGTTATAGCAGCACTGCATTAGTTTATGTTTGCAATAGCATTTTGTTTAGCCAAGAATAATAATAATTCCTTACACTTATATTGTACTTTTCTGGACACTCCACTCAAAGTGCTTTACAGGTCATGGGGATCCCCTCCACCACCACCAGTGTGCAGCCCCACTACTCTCCCCACACACCAGCTCTCAGTTAGGAGGAGAACAGAGTGATGAAGCCAGTTCAGAGAGGGGATTATTAGGAGGCCATGATTGGTAAAGGCCAGGGGGGAATTTGGCCAGGATGTTACACCCCTACTCTTTTCGAGAAACGCCCTGGGATTGTTAATGACCACAGAGAGTCAGGACCCCGGTTTTACGTCTCATCTGAAGGACGGCGCCTTTTTACAGTATAGTGTCCCCGTCACTATATTGGGGCATCACGACCCACGGCTGACCTTGGGGTGAGCGCCCCCACTAGCACCTCTTCCAGCAGCAACCTTAGTTGTTCCCAGAAGGTCTCCCATCCAGGTACTGACTAGGCTCCCACCTGCTGAGTGTCAATTGGCTGCCAGTTGTGAGTTGTAGGGTGATATAGCACCTGGCTATGAAACTATTGTCTGAGCACGTCTGCAGCTGGTCTTATTTGTGATCCAGACTGCCAGACACAAGTGCAGACACTATACTGTACCAAAATACCAGGTAGTGGAGCGTTTCTGTGTGCATCTGGAGTTGTTCTTTTTTTTCCCCACAACCATGTTGTGAAATACTTGGTCTTTAATTTACACTTGGGAATTTTTAACTGAATCCAGGCTCTAGGAAGGAAGCTGTATGCAATTGAATTGCCATCTTTTCACACCTGCCTTGCTCAAGAGGTGTGAGGGGTGGCAATTTAATCTCAAGCCACATTTTCGAAGGAACCCCTTCCAGGTATCGGAGAAAAGTGGATCCTACAGGTGGTTTGGTACTGAATTGGCAGCCATACTGAAGATAAACCTGTTGAACAATTAAAATCTTTAAAATGGGACCCAAACCACCGTTTCAATGTGTTGCTTTTATGGTACATGCAGCTTTGTGATACTGTAACTTGTTAATCAGTGCTGTTACTGAAGAAGCAAAGGTCTTCTCCTGTTCCAGGCCCACTAGTTAGTGCAGGTTTCGTCTCCAGCAGCCCGTGTAATGTGAGAAACGGCACAATTGGGCGTCTTTGTTCAGAGACACAAGTGCTGGCTTGTCTAAACAGATAATTGAATATGCAGTGAGCAAAAACATTAAAAATGAGTCATTCTCTGAATAGTTTGTATTACATCATGGTAGCTGGATGGTAGTGAGTGTTGTTTTGAACAAGTACTGTCATGTCTTATCTTGAGTGCACAGTTAAAAAAGCGAGTTCCTGAGTTTTTCGCTTGTGCATAGTCCGTGCACAGACCATCCTCCAGCCTTACACAGTTATTTGCTTAATGCACTTTGAAGCCTAGGTTCCACATCTATCCCCTCATGACTGCAGAGTCAACAAAAAAACGTCTCTTGAATTTGCATGTTTAAAATGTTTTGCATGTGTGCCTTCGTGGTGATTCTGACGATGGCGTTTCCCACAGTCTGTGCCTTAAAAACTAAAATGAAAAAGCAAATGAGAGAAACCCAGGAACTTCCTTGTGCATCACTTAACACCAGACATTAGGGTTTTTGCATTAGATATTAGAGCACTAACCCATCATCAGCTCCAGGACCTGGCTTTGGTTCATGATCTTGCAGGAAGCAATGATTGCTTAATTCCACTGTGTTGGGTTCTGATTAAAAGCCTTGTGTTATCTGATACAAAACATGAAAGGGACAGTTATTCTGTTGTGCACTCACTGGCCAGCAGATGAGTTTTTGAGAGTTCAGCAAATTCAAAATCATTGTCGGACAGTGGGTCCGAAGACTGGGGATTGTGGAACACAAATATTATTAATATTAATAATTCTTTACACTTATATAGCGCTTTTCTGGACACTTCACTCAAAGCGCTTTACAGGTAATGGGGATCCCCTCCACCTCCACCAGTGTGCAGCCCCACCTGGATGATGCGCCAGTACTCTCCCCACACACCAGCTCTCAGTGGGGAGGAGAGCAGAGTGATGAAGCCAGTTCAGA